AGATTATCGCATATATATTTTTGTACCTACAATTGATTACATGACGGTCCCTACCTATAGATGCTTTTTCTAATCTTGTAATTTTACTGACTTGTCGTAGAAGTGTGGTTTTTTCAAATGAAAAAAAAATTCCATCGAAAGCTTTTTGGAAACGCATCAATATCATTTGGAAGGATTTTCTTACTCTAAAGGATTATGCTTGGTATTGCTAGACAGAATGAATTTTTTACGTGACAGACTTATGAAGCACTGAGCATATACAAAACTGATATAGATCCCCATTTGATTTTCTTACTTTTCTTTATTCTATCTGGCATATTTAGTCGTACTCAAAGTTCAGCCAAGCCTCCGCAATGCAAGCTGGAAATTGTTTTTGGGAAGAATAGCAAAGGCAAAAAGCGTGTGCGGTCTGGAATCCTGAGGGATTGTAGTTCCTTACTGCGTTTTCGCTTTTCCCAACACTCACTTCAAAACCATCTCCGATAACTATTTGTTATCTGACATGTTCACAAGCCTGCTCTGAGGTTTCAGAGCGCAACTGCGCGGAAATATAGAATTATTATTTATAGAATTTAGATAAATATTTTTGATAGTTCATTTAAACCCAACCTTCTTGGCAAGTAGTCAATAAGTAGTTTTCAAATCTAGGAAGATGCGCAAGAAGCAGTTAAATTGCACAGAACGTCTTTGAAAACCTCTCAGGATAAGTCGCTTTTAGTGATTAGGTCTCCACGGAGAGTTACGGAAGATTTCAGGGGCGCTAAAGTATTCCGCATGTTGGCAACTCTAGCTGTCAACTAGGTGCGAACTAGGTGGCAACTAGATGGCAGCACTATGGCACCGTAAACTTGCTACGTGGCGCCCTTCCGCAAAACTTCTTAATGGAGTGGTGCCTATTACCCCTATGGTTCCACTCATCAGTTTGGTATGTTTTTATTGGCCCCAAGCTGCGTTCGTTAGCCGAAATCGTCAAGTTGCCGTCATGTTCACGACATCCATGGACGCGATCTCGATGTGAGGTGCGACACGCCACCTATGCCGACAATCTGCCGGCATGTTAGAGCAATGAGAACATCATGGGATTTGCGAGATTGTGAGTGGCATCTCGGAAATGCCTAGACCATGTCCAAAGCACGAGATGGGTCGTGCCTTTACCTAGTGTGCAATTCACAACACATATTTGCCGGCACCGTAGATATTAATGTAAAATTGAGTGTTTCATGGTTTTTCTTCAACTTTTCCCTTTCATTTCTTTTCGTCGATCACTCTTCAATAGTTCTCCAATGTTTGCAACAAAGACTTAAGATTTTTTGACAGGCTGTTGTGAATATTTTATTAGCGTCAATTTTGCCACTTTTGCAATCGAGTAAGCTCTTAAAATAGCTTGAATTCTGTATGCTTTGCACTAAGTATAATGAATTACTTTTACTGATTCAGGTAGTTGTAATCAAGTATTCCTGTGTTTTTGCATGTGTGCTATTCAATACTGCTTGTGCAAAGGTGAGCTACTTTCTCTAGTAAATACTTTCCTTTATCTTCCTATTAACGGCAACAGAGGAAGGGCGTTAATTGCGCAAAATTTTTCGTTGCCTTTACCAACTAATCATATTCATAGTGTTAGTTTACGTGCTCAATTAAAACACGTCATTTTCAACTTTCTATCTCACTATACTGAAGAACGTTCATTAGTTGCCACTTAGAGTTGCCAACTCGTCGGCAGAGTTGCTAACATGCTGCAAGTTTGATGCCAACATGGAAGGTAAATTACTACCGCTTCATGTCTCCGATTAGCAATCACTTTTTTGTTCTCATAATTATGTTTTTCTATATCAAACGTCTCTTATTTACCTCTCCAACTTATAGCACACCATAAAATATAATATTTGCTAGTTCAATTTTCAAAAATATAGCTCTATAAAAGTTCATAATGTTAGTTTATCCACCATAAACAAATGAAAGCTTAGATTGATTTGTATCTCCACTGTCATAAACGAAAATATGGTGCCCCCATTTTCATCAGACTGTGGTGCATATGTGTCGGTGTTGACCATAAGACTTCAAGACTAATGGAACGTACGGCCATACAAGTGTGGTTCATATGATCGCAAATTTGATTCGGTTAATCTATCGTATTAAACTGCTTAACTGTTGCCCTCACCTAATGCGATAAGCATAATACTGTTGTAGTACGTCATGTTATGTTGACATATGAGTATTCAGTGGGAATTCACATGCGTATGTACGGTAAAGTCATTATCGTTATTGCATTCTGGTGAGAAAAAGAACGAAATGAAATGATGTAAGAAACTTATGATATGATGCGCTGATAAAGTTATAGGATAACCCATACGCTTGACTTTAGGGTTACAAGTTTTTTTTTCAAAAAAATCCAACTTTAATTCCATAATACCTTGAATATCAACACATTTTATTATACTTCAAATAATTACGACATATACTTGATAAATCTAAAATTATGAACTTAGCGAAGCTAAACTGTTCCTCTTAGCGAACATAAAAGAATGATCCATAATAACCAAAATCAAATTCATTTCTTTCTTCTAGTTTTTTCTTTAAATTTATTTTAAATTACTTATGTGAAAACACTGGATAGTGAGAAATTAGGTTTTATGTCGTTGGATCGAAAGCAAGTGATTTACCAATAAGCAAAAATCTTAAATTACTGTTAATCTCTGCAAATGGAGACTTGCCAAAAAAAACGCTTTTGT